AAAACTAGTAAATTATTTCATTTCAGACTTCCCCTCTGGGGAGGGATTGCTGCAAAGCTGCAGTAATGGAAATCTGAGATGTAGTTACTGGCCAAGGGCCAGCAGAGACGTTGGTCACTTGGATGTGTTCCTTCCTTCCCAGCTGCAAAAGAGTTTCAGCAAGGGAGAACTAAATTAAATGTGCCATAATGATTGGAAAAAATGAAAATGTTACCACATTACAGCAAAACAAATAAGGCATGGATGTGCTTCTGAAGAGCTATTAAAATACAGCACTTCCACTGTCCTTGTTTCCCACCACTTACTGATATACAACTCAGAAGGGGACCCCCTAATCCAGGGTGTACCCATAGCTGGCACTTCATGGTACTTTAGCTGAGAAAGGAGCAGTAAACATCCATGAGGAAAAAAAAAAAGGGCATAAAATCTCCTCACTTACTTTTCCCTGCAATTAATTGTGATGCAAATACTAATTTTCTTTTACTAATTCATCAAGAATACCCTTGAATCTGAAAGTTAAGAATGGATTTTAATGAAATTAAATTGCCTGACCGTGGAGTAACTCTCTATTTCTTTTCCAACCTGCTCTTAAAGCAAAGAAAGAGTGAAAAAAACAATCCTTGTAATCAATGTCTGCAGAAATGTTCGCTTGTCCCGTGTGCCTGGTGATGTTAAAAAATCATACAATTAGGAGCCTAGCAGATGTAGAAAAATGCATTTGGAGCTTTTTCACAATTTTCATGGTATATCCAACTGTCTCTACATGTTATTAGCAGGTTTTTTCAGTGCATGCTATTAACCCAGTTGACGTCTTTTTTGTATCTGATATATAAATCTGCACTTAGCAATACTGCAGAATAATTTTCTGTGCGGTGCTCCTGTGATAAGGATAAGAGGATTTTTTTAATCATCATTATAGATGGTAATAATTCCTAGAGTGATACAGAGATATCGATCCACTGATCTAAAAAAAGTGTTTTACAAAGGCAGAGAAGTGTTGCTACCCTTATTTTAAGGAACAGGATAACAGACATGATGAGAGACCAACTCACCTATGGTCAATACAGCACATCAGTGGCACAGCTACAAACCAAACTTGGGTATTTCTGGCTATTTTTGCACACTCCAGCTATCACTGCATGGCTGTCTGTGTTGGCATCTGTGGTCATGTAGACATTACACAGCATTGGAAGTCAGGAGGTCTGAAAGTTTCCTTAAGCCGTTTACAATAAGTGATTTAAAATCTTAATCATCTGAGGCAGTTCACTTCTGCTTTTTCATGATAATGAAGCTTAGCACATGATATCACAATCATGAATTTTTGTAAAGCATACTTAGCTCTTCAGAGAAAGTGCTGGATTAAACAACCCTGCAGGCTGAATCCTTCTCTTTGAATAATGAATATCGTACAGGCAGTGGCAAGCTTCTTTAGATAGTCCCACAAACCCTGCTAAAGCAAGGGCCAGCCTCCATGGCTGCTGGGTTTCTTTATCTCTACAGCCAACAGGGTATTTCTATTTTTTAATACCATCCACAGCTAGGAATTACTCTCTGCCAGCCAACTAATTTCACAGGGACTATCCCAAAGCCTTCGGAAAGCAATGCCTTTTGGTTGCTGCCTATTCTTGAAGCTGATCGAAATATAACAAGTTACAGGTATAAACAATGGTTATTTCTTAGATGTAGGAGTGAATAATAACAGGGAAAAACATGACTCAGGGGAAAAAAAATCTCAGTGTCTTTAAAATGCACTGCTCCACCACTGGAGCTCTGTATCATTACTTTAGTCTCATTTTACAGCTGAGTTTCAAACAGCTGACAATAGGAATTTGGAGTTGAAATGCTGATGGTCCATTATCACTAGTGACAGCAGTGGGTGCGACTTTATTAAAGTTCTGTCAACTCTTGGCTAGAAACTACAATAGAAACAACTAGTTCCATCTCTCTCCCTCTCTCCCTTTATCTTAGCACTTATATCACACTCATCACAAAGTGTTACATTTTCTCTTGATGCCACAGGACAGGATTTCTCCTTGCTACTGGAGCCACATGGTAAACTAAAACCCTACATCTTGTCTATGAGCTGACAGCAGACTGTTACTCTACCAGCAGTGAGGCTGCTGTTGTAGTGTAGACATGGTCTAAAAGTCAAATGAAACCTTTATAGTTTTTACTAAGTAAAAAACAAACAAACAAACAAACAACCCGGCCCAAACCAAAACTGCTCTACTGAGCAGTGTAATCTGGAGCTATTCCTTCCAACTATCTGCTGGTAATGCAGATTATTTGCCTGAACCCTTTAACAAAGCTCAAAAGCTGGCACAAATACCAAGAAGATACTTTTCAAGCTCTTTTCATCCAGAGATCCCATGATGTGCACTTGTTATGCAACTGAAAAGAGATACCAAATGGAGTTTACTGGACCACATTTCCATCTCACTGCTGTGAGAACCGAGTCCCCAAAGGCTTTGGCATGGCAGGGTCAGTGTTTCCCTAAGACAGTGACTATTTTTCATTCACCTCTCTGAGTCTAGGAGGGAAGCACATCCAGACCGGTGCTGGGAAAACAAATACTGTTTGTGGCGAAGGGAATTAACATCTTGGAAATGGAAACATGAATTAAAACTTATTAAGGATTGGAACTCTTTACAAAGATTTAACTGTATAAATTCTCCCTCTTGCTTTAGTGAAGCAGTTTTTCACCTTGTAGTTTTTCAGTCAAGCTCCCTCCTCTGCAGATCTCCCTCACCACTTTTCATTTCAAGTGCGATACCAACCATTTTCCCAACACTTTGCCTTTGCTCATGGAGTGGTGGTTTTGTGAAGCTGATAAAAATCTGCCTGAAAACCTGGTTGGCGCAGCTGAACTCATTTTCAAGTGTGAACATGGGTGTGTAGAAAGCAATTCGAGTTTAACAAGGCATGATGCATGAGGGCATGATAGAATATCAGTCGTGATTGTGACTGAAATGAACCCGAGTGGCAGAGAGGATACAGCTCTGCTACGATTACTGGTGTGTGACCTACCTGGACTGAGATCTTCAGTCTCCAGCAGGAGAGAACAGCACATTAACTCTACAGCTGTGCTGGCCAGCAGAGGATACTGCCCTGCACATCTTAGGAATCTCAGCTTCTGATTGTTGTGAGATTGCTATTCGTGGCAGAACAAAACTACCCCACCAACCTCACTTACTCTGTTGGATTTCATAATTAGCTTTTCTATGCTCCTGCTATACTCAAAGTGTGTTGAATAAAAGCAAGTGTGCAGTGGGATTTTTGTGGATCCCAGGAAAGATCTATTTCTTTGTTGGGTGATGCTGACAAGTCAATTAAATCTTTTTTGGGGCTCAAAACATCTGATGCACAGATCTTGTTATTTCAGCAGTTAATTAGCTCCTTTCCCACTTGTGTCTTCCATCACCCCTTCCCTGTGCTACTTACACAATGAAATCAGTGAAAATCAGAAATACTTATTTTGCCACAATGTTGGGTTTAGAAAGATAATAGCTTCACTCGACTCCATCAGTAAACATTCCTTACTGAGCTGCAAGAACCAACCTCAGACCCCTCCCCTAATCTTCCCCAAGGCAAAAGCCAACGTTGAGAGGCTCTCCTCGCCTAAAGGGACTGCTGCATCCCAGCCCCAAAAGTGTGGGGATCACAAAGCATAAATGTAAGTGCATAATTTTCTTGGGGCTCTCTATTTTTTGCCAGAGTGTCTTTGCAACAAGTCCTTATTATTCAGAAGTAGTACAGTAAGTTCTTTCAAACAGTGTCATAAAATATACAAATACCTGCACTTCCCTTGCTGAAATTTATAGGTATTTTAAAGAAACTGGGCAAAACAAAACAAAACAACCCATGCACAAATACTGTGGATCCTATAGCCTACTGGAAACACGTAAATCCAAAAGCAAAGAAAGAATTCTAAATCTATATCCACGTCTATATGCAAAATGGGTGCTATTATTTTTTTCTGTGCCTTTTGAAAATGTAATAAAATGCATAAACTGTGCTTTCTATTTTTTTTTCTATAGAAGTGATGTTTTTCACAGATCCACACTTAAAATTACTTTATGCCCTGTGCCATTAAGTGGCTATGGCAAGTACCACAGCATCCTTCTGCACTGACAGATGGGACTATCCCTATTTTCTTTTCCACTCAGCAACTCTGGCACTGACATTTTGAGAAGGTTCACGGTCTGAGAATAAATTCAGGTCCATATACCGTGGAGTTAATATGCACTCTGGGTCATCAATATAGGTTTATTTTTCTTTTCAATATGTTTTCAGAAGGCCTTTCCCCAAAAGACACTTTTGCACTCAAAAGGGATCACTGGCTATTGAAGTCTGTGCTGCATTTCATTTCCAAGTTCAGGTCGCCCACTTGACCACCCTTGATGGTGCTGCTTAACACCTCTCCCCTGGTTTTTGAGTTGTGGTAGAGGCACAAGATTTGAAATTTCTTTTTACAAACTTTTGTCCAGACAAAGCTCTCAAGTTCAAGCTAACCTCTTTGCTTCTCAGTTACAGCAGACCTATGTTTTGCATATAGTTACAGAAAACACAGGAATGGAGGAGATAGATGGTGCTACAACGTGGGCCAGTTCCCATGACCTTTAAGCGGTCATTTACAGTCCTGACTTCTTTTTCTTTTTATTTTGGCCTTGTGCTACAAAGCAGAAATGGGGTCAGGGAAGCAACTTTGATTTTGTGAGAGCAGAAAACTGAGGGTGTTTTCTCAGGGTGCAAAGGAACCTTTCCAGCTGACAAACAGGGTGATAACACAAGTTAATACGTTGGCACCGAGACCTTTCTGACACTGGAAATAAAAGGTGATAATTTCAGTCACTGTGAAAAGTTCATGTGGATAACTTCATCACGTGGGACGTATTACAGCATAACCTCTCGCTGCAGACAGCGGCTCTGCCTACCTTGGCTGTGACATATAGCTCCCAATTAGCACTTAAGGAAAGAGACTTTACAGGCTGCACACTCACCTCTGCTCAGCCCATCCGGTCCCCGAAGGATTCGGCATTCTTCTATCTGGCCGAACGGAGAAAACATCACCCTGATATCATTCTCATTACACTTCTTCGAAACCATTCCTATGAACAATTTTCTGTCTTCCACAGCTAGAAGATAAAAATAATGAATGAGCAAAGGCCATTTCATCTTTTTCCTGTGATCAATGCTTCATTACCACATCAAACCAAGCTCCAGTCATGTGAGTCTGGCTCTGTAACTGAAGACAAGTCCTAAGGCAAACACTTTATACTTACAACCTCCCTTCCCCCCTTCCACCCCCACCCCAAATATCTCGTTTTTCTTTCTCTCTCTCCTTTTTCTAGTGGTGCTTGCTGTTTATATAACATATTAATTGGCTGTCTTAGTCACTCTGCATACACCTCCCCATAACGGCTTCTAAAAGGAAAGCATCCTCTGTTAGAGGGACTTTTAAAGATATCTTTGCATAGATTCTAATTCAGATAAATTCCCTCACCCCTCTCATGTGTGAAAGAAATCATGATGGAGTGAGGGTGAAGAAGGGATTTTGCATGTAATGATACAAGCTAATGAAAAATATTCCTGACAAATGTTTTGAGAGGGCAGCTCCTATCTGAGCTTTCAATTTCTGCCAACTTAATGCACAGCACTGGAAAGGCAGATGTGCACTGACTGCTCTGGAAAAAGAATGCATTAAATTTTTCTGCTGTTTTTTTTTTTTTTCAGACTGCCACAGCCCTCTCCCCTTCAGGAGGACACAAGGCATATTCCAGGACATCACTTGAAGACCCTCAGATTCATAATGATGCTGAGTTTGCAAAAAATACCCATGAAAAAGGTGCTTTACCTGAAGTATTGGTAGATTATTTCCTGCCTGCACTGTCACCAAAACCAGCACAAGCTGGACTGCTGCAGCAGGACGCACACAGTCCTGTTAATCGAATTCAAATTTACAGGTCTAAAGCTGGGGACTCTTGTCAAAAATGAAAGAGGTCATCAAAACTTAATTCACTCTGGAAAGACTTAAAAATGTTAACGCACCCACCCATCTATATTAAACCAAAAATCTAAAGTGCTTATTATACAGTACATACACCAGTGCTTTCTTCTCCTCTGGAAATGGCATGTAAATCCAATTCCCTGTTAATGAGCAGACTGTCAGGGTTTGTGGGGAAGCAAAGAGAGAAGGAAAGCTTTTCTCCAGAGAGTCTGCACTGCACTTACTTATTTCTATTATTGTGCAAATTATTTTTGTAATGAAGTATTTTCATTTCTGGGCTTACAAAAAAAAAATAATGAATCCTTCCTTGCTCTCCAGCTCTGTCTCCTGTATTAGTATGAGTTTGTCAAATGGAATAAATTGCAGCTGAGGAAGAAGGAACCGCGTCCATTTTTTCTAGGATTTTATTTGTGTTATACTTCAACACTTTCAGTGCATTTAATAATTTCAAGAATAACAAGAAGAGGTTCATGTTTATTGATCATGACAAGTGTTTGAAGTAATTTTCTCCTTAAATTGCTGACTTTAAAAAGTATTTGTAGCTTTTATGCAAGCAAGCACCAAAACTGTGCATTTTTTCAGAATCCAAAACAGAGACCAGCCCCTGCAACCCCAGCTTCTCACTCTAAAAGCTTGCAAGAAAATTGGCGTGAATTTAATACCCAGGGGAAGACGTTTTCCTCAGCAGAGATTCCTCAAGACTGAACATTTTCATTCACACTTTATATTGAGGTTCCACATGCAGGTGAACCCTCCAGAAAGGGTTAAAAAATGATGAATGCACGGGATGAGCCAGTTATGTACAGATCAGGAGCTGAATATGTGTGATTGCAAATAAGACCAACAAGTTGGGATATTTATGTCTTATTATGAAACTTTACATCTGATTCATAATACATAACTGACCTTGATGCTGTTAATAATTATTTTAAGGATGGGAAAACTGAATTGTCTTGCTCACAGCTACAAGAGGAGCCTAGGCAGCCACTTCTGCTGGTGAAAGGATGCCTGTAATTTGGCTTTTTACAATTCCTATACTGCATTGAGCAATCTGTTTGAGGAAGTTCCCTGACCAGCCTGTCCCCTCAACAACAGCCAAAGACTATGGACAGGGTACAGGAGAGGTTTTGAGACCCAGGACCCAGCTGGGCTGCCAGGACTGAGTTTCTCCACACCACAGACTGAGGTCAGGTTGGAGGAAGCCTTGGTGCCAAGCACAGGTGCAAGCATTGCCTTCTGCTCTGTGTTATGAACCTCTTAATTTCTGTCTGTGTGTCAGCTAGTACCAGCCAGTTTAAACTTGGGTTGATTTTAGGCTTGAAATACAGTGTGCAGGTCTACCCTAAGGGTGACTAGGTTCCAACCCTCTTTTAAAAACAGCTGCTGGCTAAGTTGAACAAATGCCTACTTCAGCATCCCAAAGGAGGTCCCTTGGGTCCTGCTTTGGTGCCAGGACAAAGATTCAAACCAAAAAGATTCATATGGAGATCCGAAAGAAATGAGATGCAACCAGAAGGCTTTAATTTTCCAAAGAGTAGCAGGCAACAAACTCCCCACCGGCCTCCTTTGGTTTCGCTGGTAAACCTATAAATATGCCATTTAACTAACATGATTTGCAGGTTTGCTGCTTGAGGGTGATTTTATAGTAAATTAAACATCCAGCTCCTGTGTACTGTACTGTACATCTTAAAAATGCAGATTTCATGAGAATGCTCAGAGTACAGAAAACATATTGATATGATGACGTGCTCTGCATTCAGGGCCATTAGTCAGTGCTGATCAGTGTTGAAGCTTAAGAAAATTGCTATTCTTTTTTTGGCTAGGGGCCCAGAATAAAAAACATTTAAAGTGACAATTGTCAAGATCATAATTACATGTTTTCACTCCATCTGATAGAACATCTGATATTATTAGGCTGAAAGAGTTTTTAACGATATATTCTCATACAGAGAAAGGAATGCTTTTCCACCTCGATAAGACTGACTGCCAGGATCTGTTTCTGCATTTTTGGTCAGCCACTTCTCTCTTTCTGAAATGAATTCTTACCTGTCAGGCAGGCAAGGTTTGAGAATCAAATAGACAATGGGCTGCAAGAAGTGTGGGTCAAGGGGGGTTAGAGGTTAGCAAACTTTGGATCTGGGAAGCCTGAGAATTTTCCTGTGCATGTTGGCTTGCTCCCATGGACTGTAAAATGAGGAGCCCAACATTAAACATGTGATCCAGCCAAGTGTTGAGGTCAGGACAGGTGCTACATGCTGCTAGTTGGGGAAAGGATGGCACTCTAAACCTGTCTCACCTAATTACAGCCAAGAGATCAGTGACTGATCTCACCTCTCCCAGCAATATGGGATGGGCTGTGCCATGGGACTCTATCCCCTGCTACTGACAGTAGATAGGGCTGTTACTTCCAGCCAACCCCCAAATCTTGGTCATCTTGATAACACTAGATGTCCTGAGCTCCAGCTGCAGGGACAGGAGGAATAAATGAGCTTTGAGGGACTGGACAAAGCTTGGGAGCTGCAAGTGCTTTGGGCAATGAGAGCAGATAAGAGGAATGCTGGGGGGGGGAAGGATAACAATGCACAAGGGTCAGCACCTGTGTGCACATATCTCTTAAGCATTTCACTGCTGCTTGTTAACTCTCTCTCCCACATTTGGGGTAGGTTTCAATAATTCAAAATCCATAAAAATCAAATTTTTTTTGGCAAGTGTTTGACATCATTATTTCTGAACCTTGCTCATAGGCTTATTTGAACTTTCTGACTATTTTGCATTGCTGTGTGGGAAGGAAGTAGATACAACCATTTGGAAGCAGCTGGTAGGATGGGGTGGCTGAATATCCCTCCTTGATGGAGCAGAAGCAGCCAGAAGGCCACAGTAAACAAGACCTGAAGTTCTAGTCACAGGAAGGAAGGTGTGAAGCTACACAGCATCTTGATTAACACATTATGGGGTTCACCTTTAATCCATCCCAACATATTAAAAACACAGGTTAGCTGTGCTGCCAGGGCAGTTGGAGTGACATATCCAGTGCTAAGCCTGCTGGATTTGGGGTGGGGTTTCCCAGAATGCAGGAACCCTGTGTGACGAGGTGCAAATACCTGTTTTAAAATGAGATGAGTTGCTCTCATAACTCCATCAAGACTCGCTCTGCCATCACTAGCACAGGTGCCTGGGCACCATGTTTGAGCCCAGAATGCTGCATTAGCCATCCAAGCTTATATGAGATGAAGTCTCTCTCTGCTGGGGGCGGATTTTTTCAAACCGAGCCTCCTGTCTTCTGACAGCACTGCATCCAATGTGCAGAATAACATCCTGAAGGGCCTAATTTTTTAGCTTTACTCAATTTGCTTCAGTAATGAGCACTTCTTGCAGGTTGTATTAGATCGCTTGTGCTAACCCAGGAGAACAGAGCAGTAGAGATTATTTTCTGAATGCTACAAAAGAATTAAACCCTGTAATAATCATGGGAAATCTCCCTAAAGATTTGACAAACATTTCTCTCTTCTAAACCCCTAAAATTCTGAAAAATCAAAATTATAACTCTTTATTATGCATTTCTGAGGAGTCCAGTAAGATAATGAGTACACTTCCTCCCCCATTCCTCCCAGAAGTTGTCTTCTCTTTTGAGCAAATCAATAAACAGGTAATTATGTATAAATGGTGGCTTTTGTAGGTTTTTTTGGTTTCTTTTCCCAGACAGAAGGGAAGAGGGGAAACCAGACTTTTTATCTCTATCTGTAAGCCTGTGAAAACCCCTTGTATACAATCTGTCAAAATCACACCTGGATCTGGAGCTGCCTGCATTAATTATCAACTTTTCTATGTGTTAGTGCTAACATATGGCATTTAATTACTCCCTCCAAATCGGCAAAGTTGTGCCACTTAGAATTTCAAAATTATTTTTCACTAATAAAATAAATAAAAATAAATTATAAGATTTTTCAGCTACCCTCTTCCCTCCTTTTAAAATTTTTTTAAACAGAGAATTTAGTCATTTTCCCTGAATTGGTGCTACTTTGATCCACTTTGGAGCATACTGTCCGTGGGATATGTGCCTGAAAGTACTGACTGTGTTCAAATCCAGATCCAAGACACATTTAAGTATTTGCCAAATTGTAGCATGCTAATGGTCACAGATAACTCAGAGTCAAGCAGTTGTTCATGTGTTCTTTGGCATTAGAGTGCAGGAACCTCCTTTGTTTGAAAAAAGGGAAAATGCCCTTAAAAGGATAAATACTGTGAGTGATTAACAGTTGAGATTAATCTAGTAATGGTGGAGCCCTCAAAGTCAGACTCATGCTTTTCTGGAAGATAAACAAAACTTTGTAGATAGGTTAAAACAACCACCTAGCACAGAGGTGGTCAGACTAGACCTACTGGGTGATCAGACCAGAACACACTACAAAATTCATCATCTGAAAATTTTTCAGAGGTGTTACATTTCTCAACAATAAGAAGCTTTTCAAAATACTCCTGGGTAGGCAAATTAATTAGATCTAAAGGCAAGTCTTGCCCCATCAACTCTAGCTGCTAAAAGCTTGATGGAAGAAATTAAGCTTTGCTTCATCTGCACGAGCAGAGAAATGACTCGGACATGTTGTACCCAGGGAAGGAATCACTGGGACAGGTATCTCAGAGAAGATGTGTCTGCCCCATCCCTGGAAGTGTTCAAGGCCAGGTTGGACAGGGCTCTGAGCAACCTGGTCTAGGTTAGTAACGTGTGGGCAGGAGGTGTCTCTTCCATACCCATCTCCCAGTTTCCACGAGGTGAGCTCGGTCCTTGGTGCTAAGGGACAGTGATGAACATATCTAAGGACAGGAAGAGTGATGGAGAAGGAGGAGCATTTCACCCTGGTATACTCTGGCTTGGATGCTCATTCAAACCTTTTTAGCAAGGGATTCATTGCAGGGAGGAGACATATCACACAGGAAATACTGTTCTTTGGAAACCTCTGTAAGTTGAATGAGAGGACGTAATCCTCCTCCCTGTGGAACTTGAACAGGTCTATCAATCCTTCACAAACATGTACAAGCTCAGAAGAATTGTAGTGAGTGTTTAACTTCTCCTGCATATCTGTCTACAAGATATCTGGAAATTTTGACCAAGAGAATTTTATTAACCTCTTCGAAAATGGAGTAACACCACTTCACCTACAAAATGTACTGAGATCCTCCCATGACTCAGAAATCAAAGGGTTTCAAGTATTCCTCAAAAGCTCAAACACCACAGATCATGAAAACCAAGATGCCTTGGCATGTCTTCTTTCTTTTCCCCTTTGAACTTACCAATCTGGTTGAAGAGGTACAGTTTACAATTTGCTGTTGGCATGGATGATATACCTCCTCAGATGGATAGCCTGAGGCATATGGAAAACACATGCCAAACAAGTCTCTACATCCCCCATGCTGCTGTTCTTTCTCTTTCTGGATCTCCAAGCTGCTTGCAAACTGTTACCTACTCCATGGACCCCACGCCTACACCCTGTCTTTCTGAGGAGCAGAAATACTGCATCACTGCAGTATTAGCTTGCCTTCTGTTTCTCCAGTCAATTAAAAAAAAAATAGTTAACCACCCCTAGAACATGCCTATCAGAAGTTCCTACACCCTCTAGGAGTCTAAATTTAAAAAGGTTTTTAATTTGACAATTGGAACCTCTGATCTGACAATTTATTTTCCCCAAAATACAAAAAAGGCAAGAAAAAAAAAGGGAAAAAAGACAATCCCTCATGATTTTCATGCTTGGAGTAGGTGCCAGAAAATAAGAGAGTATTCCCACAGTGCAGACAGGAGTTTCATGCAGATAACCCTGGACTAACAGCAGCAGCCAGGAGCTAATGTACCCTGCTTTTCAAGCAGGTGCTACTTGCAGAGTAAGACAGAATTTGCACAATTCCCCATAGTGTTTTGCCAATATGTTCAATCTCCTTTAGAAGGAAACACTTCAGACAATGAACAAGTAACTCACTGGGAGTCAATTTTGGCCCACTGCCTCTTATTTTTCCAATTTACCTAGGAAATTGAGGTGAAATTTGTCTTTGAAAGAAGAACTCATAGAGGCTACACTTAGTTGAGAGGGTTCAGACCAGTGTTCCTGTGCCTAAGGGATAATTGTGCCCACTTCTAGCACTAAATATCATGGTCTGGAGTTTGGATTCAAACAGCAACATTCTCCTGGACTGCAGTGGGCCCTGAAACGTTCAGTCCTTCTGCCCATGCTGGTGCCGTGGCCTCTATTCTGAGCATTCGAAAACAGCAAGAAATCACTGCTAAAACCTATTAGGAAAAGGTTCTTCACCCAGAGGGTGGGAGTGTGCATTGAATCAGGCTCCCCAGGGAAGCATTCATGGCACCAAGCCCATCAAAGCTCAATGAGCATTTGAACAACACTCTCAGGCACGTGGTGTAATTTTTGGGACTGTCCCTGTGCAGGGCCAGAAGTCAGATTTTGATGATCCTGATTCTAACCTGAGAGAGAGAACACCCCTCCCTTACAAATGGGTAAGGGCTCATATTTCCTGTGCTCATGGCTACTTTTGTTTGGAAAGTTGTTATAATGGGAAACCTAGCATAATGTGAAGTTTTAATTTCATTCCAAACTTCCTAATCCTTGGAGGAGCCCGAAAAAGGGTTGCACTACAATTAGCTAAAAAAGAAGCCTTAAAAAAAGCCTTGCAGAGAGATTTAGAGCCCAATCATAATTTACATTTGCAGGTATGTAGATCTCTGAGTGCACGGCTTCTGCCCTGATTACTAATTAATGAGGTGCAAAGATGCCTGTTGGAGGAACCAGCTCTGATTATGTGGGCCTTATGGGAAAATGAAGCTCTTGCAATCTAAGAAGGCAGATGATATCTTTAACATATATTTTAGAAAATTACAGGAACAAATCAAGGGGCAAAATATACACATGTATATATTTTTAAAGAATCACACCCAGCCAGGTTGCGCTACCATTCGATTATCTTATTTCCTTGAATATATAAACCTGGCATGTTTAATAGATTTAAAATGCTGTCTGTTTTGCATGTCATATACATCCACTTAGACGGTACCCTGGTATTCCAAATGGATATTACTGTCTTTATAGCATTCATTTTTCAATCGTTGAGAGGAATAAGTATACAGAGAACTGCAAAGTGGGTTTCCCAGTTCATAATGAAGCATATGATTAAAACCTAAATTTGGCTCGGATTCAGAACAGCATCATTCTATAAAAAGGTAGTTTAGGCAAATGTTTAAGGCTGATCATCTGCTTTCATAGTTTGTTAACACAGGAGTGGTTTTTTGTTTCCTTTATTTTTAAATTTCACCAGTAAAATTTCATCTCCATCTTATCAATACCAGGCGCTCCCACATCACCTTGCTGTTAGGAGAAACCAAGGGAGAGATGGATGCAGTGAGGTGGGTCGTGACATACAGGAGGTACAAGGAAGACCCTTTTTGAGAACATTTCCTTCCTTCTTTAAAGCAGAAGATAAAAGGGAGTTCAGAGCAGCTCAATACCTTCCCCAACACACCAGGTGGAGCGAAACTACCTCATATAATTTTCACCACACAAGCACTAAAGCAAAACCTCTCACAATGTTGTGCTTGCTTTAGTTTAGAGAGAGTCACAATTAAGTAAAAATAAATTAAACACGTACCATTTGACTTTTCACTATCTGCGGGTTTCATCTGAATAGGATGATGCATCTAAAAACAAAAATGAAAGAGAGTAAGGCAGGTTGGATAGTCATAAGAAATCAAGAATCATGTTTAATTATATAAATTCAAAATAACACTCTATTATAGGCTTTTAAGAAAAAATAAAATGGTAAAGGAACATTTTATAACCAGGAAGATTAAAAAAAAAAATAGATCACTGGGCCCACAGGACTCCTATAAATCTTTAATTTGCTGTATCTAGTTTCAGAAGACCTCTAAAGTTACAGCCCTCATTAGTTTATGGCATGCTTGGTTTCTGTTTTACCAACTTTTTTTTTCCTCGAGCTCAACCACTGCCAAAACCAAGATGAAATTTTCAAGTAATTTAAGAACTAGCAAGCATTTAAAACGTACTCAGAGGACTTGAGTTTGACAAATGAACTTTGCTTGTAATTAAAAAAAGCATGCTAATTCTTTCAGGAATGAAGAGGAAGATAATCTTGTTTCTTACAATAGCTTCCTATAACTGTTCAGTATTTCATCTTTTTGTTTTAGGATACATGATACATTCATTCATAAAGCTTCCACCACAACATGGAACAATTCTGGCTTCCATAAAAACTCCTAATCCTTTTTCCTTTTCAACCTCTTCCTCCATTCATGTCCCTCCTACTGCAAAGGAAATCTACCCCTGTGTGCAGCATTCCGTGCTGAACATCTCACAGCATCCTAATGGTGTGTCCTCAGCTTTCTCTACTACATGCTGCTGCTCCCACACTGAATTGTTGATAACTCCAACAAAATTTTTACAAATGGTGCTTTTGTTCTTTCAGGAATAGCAACACCACAGCAGTTGAGCTCCCTCTGATCAAGGTGTGTGGCTTTACCATGGACATTGGTTATAGCCAGCCACATGGCCACTGTGGTGCACTCAGGGAAATTTTGTTACAGGTTCTCAAAAGCCTTCAGAACTGACCTCACATTGATATTCAATATGTGAAATTTTTAAGCTTGCAAAAAAACCCACTTTTATTTTCTTTCATAGGCTCTGTATAGTTGCTGAGATTTGACTGCACAAACCTTCCAGCAGCAGCAGGGCCACTGCTTTTTCTCTCCTCAGCAATTCCTTACCAATTCACGTGAGCAGATAAATAAATGTATGCTCTATCTGCTTTAGTATCATTTTTCAGTGCAGCAGAGCTGAGTATTGCCTGAAAATGTCAGAGGCAATTCCGTTTTTCTAAATAAAAGACTACTATGACAAACTTTGGGAAACAAAAACAGCTGAGCAGGAGAGAACATCCATGCCCTCATATCAAACGTGCTTTCAAAGCAGCACAGAAACCCAAATCTGTATTGCTTTTGGTGGAGCCACTTAGCCTCCAGGGAAAAAGATGCTGGATTCTTTAGAAAATATAAAGTATAGCTGTGAATGTTTCTGTAAGATTTACTCAAAGTCCAGAATGCTCCCTGGCCCTGCAAATCAATGCGTTGCCTGCGCTGCTTGCAAACTCCCCACTGTGCCTTAAGGAAAAGGCAAAGCCACAAGGTAGATGTAGTCACCAGGATGCATAAATTTGCTTCAATTTTAACAATTCTGTTCTCTTTGAATCATTCATTTCCTAAATGGACCTTAATAGCCCAGCACTTTTCTGCCACTCTTATTCGATCAAATTTATAGGAAAAAGGGAACTTCTATCGTACTCTGTCTTTAGTGCTTAATATTTATCCTGAAATCAACAATACATTGGGCACTGCAGGAGACTTAAAATTCATGGGAATGTGATGCAGTATGGCCACTCAGCAATCAAAAAGAGAAAGAAGAAAAAAAGTGTAACTTGCTCCATGAGCCCGCTGAAGGTTACTGATGTCTCTGAGGAGCAATGGAATGGTGAAAAAATAGAGGAAAGAAAGGTAAGTATTGTAAATTCAGGAATATGCAGATTATAACAGAAAAACCCAACCCAAATTCAGGCCTTTTGTAGACAAAGAATCTATCGCTCTTTATAGCTGCATTTATATGCTCCAAAGAGGAGATATTTTAAATAAAGGCAATTCTAACAATGTTAAAAACCTCTCACTTCTGAACTTCTCAAACTGTCTGAACTACAGAAGCCAACTTTAGACTGAATTCATGTGAAGAAGTTGTTTTTGCAGCCCACAGTCATAACATAAAGATCAGTGTTACCCAACAAACACATTTATTGCACCTGAAATTGTCCTCTTCTGTTACACATAATTACCCCAAGTTCATTAAGTCAGTAATCTGGTACATTCACGAAGCAAGAGGCAAGATTTAACAGGATGCTTCAGCTGGGTTTCTACTTGATTTCAAAGGTTCCTGCTGAAAAGTCATGCTCCAAACTCCCTTCACACCAGCAAGTTGAATTTGGGAGCGATGCTGTTGTGCTTAAAATTATATAGATGCAAAATCAACAAAAGATCCAGCTCAGACCTGGAGAGTTTAAACTACAGAACACCCTGGAAAAAATAGATGCGATACACAAACCTGGCTTCAGTGGAAGAGGAAGGTGGAAAAATACCTTCCTGACAGTTTCCTAACATGAGAGGGCTCATGTTGAAGCTTGTTTAACCCTGACCATCACCAATTGATACGTTAACAACCTTTAACACTAGATTCAATAAAACATGCCATTTATAACCTGAAATGGGTTTTACAGAGTCACTGGTTCGCATCTCATTATTAAACTCATTGCTGACCTCTAGAGACAACTGCCGTGACAATACATATTATAAGCTCTCTACCCATAAAATATTTAAAGGTAGGTGTAAAAAAGAAAGGAAAAGAAAAGAAAAGAATGACTCTCAAAGAAGTGTGCAGTGAATAAGAAAATTAAAGGGGCAGAGACAAAAGCTAAATAGGTACTATCCTTTCACTCTACAATGAGCAAAAGAGAAAATAATCTGTGCGTTTTATATCTTCCTTGTATAACTGCAGGCTATAAAAATAATAAAATAGCTGCGCTTTCCCAGGCCCTCCAAAAGATTATAGATGATATAAACCTGTTTCAAATTAGATGCCACTCACTAGAATCATGTCATCTACTGAAATGAAGGATTTCATGTCTTATCAGAAACCTGTTATTGCAGCTATACATCACTTATGATCTCAAGGTAAGTGGTTTCTCAGTATGTCATGCTGTCACACAGAACAACAGGAAGCATTTTCTTCTTTGCTTGAAAAAATCTTTGTTTAAGAAAGCACAGTATTTATGAATGCACAGTTGCAATTAACAAATGGGCAAGAGTAAGAAAAATAACCGCAGCAAATACTTTACAGACTTGAACACTACCCTGTGCTCAGACCATACAGTAAAAAGAGAACAACACAGCTCTCAGGCAAGTTCTTTCTGAGCATGGGCAGCTTCCCCTGGCAAGCACTGTGCACAGGGATATCACACCCAGGCTGGAGTATGGGCTGTAAGGAACAACATCTCCTTGTCAATATTATAGAGAGCTCACAGTTGGGCAGCAAGTACAGCACAACCTTACCTTTCCTACAGGCACTCTCTGTCCATAGGTCTCAAAACACACTGTGCCACTGTTTCACAACTGAGAGCAGGCAAGTGCCTGTTGCCCAAGGTTGCTGGTGCCTTGTGGCAGTGCTGGCAGCAAAATAGGGGCTTCATTGCTCTAACAGAGCCCACCTGAAGCCAGAGGCCAAGCAGATCACCACATCTCCTTGGGCACATCCCAAGCAGGGGTGCTGATGGTCCACAGGAATCAAAAAGGCAGAGAAACAGTTGTCAAACATTAAATCCTGAAAATCCCCTAAAATCAATGAGAATCTGGCTGCTGGCAATGTCCAGGGCAGCAGCAGGACCACGCCATGGCCTAGAATTACAATGGAATAGTTACCTCTTTTTCTTTTTTTCCCCTCTTTTTCCTGAGTACATCCCACTATATGTAACTTCATCAGATAAAAAACCACAGCAGAACAACCCAAAACTTCTCAAGGCACACACCCTCTCCAGTTTTAGAGCCTCAAACTCATCTTTTCAGCCACAATAATGCTTCCTATTTACATTCTTGTCAAAGCCATGTGACATCTGCATGGGAGAAAACAAGCCGGCTAAGAGTCTATTTCTGGCAAAAATATTGCAAGGAAATTAGATTAACCTGGGTGGAATTCTATCTGGGAATTTGGAGTCTGTCGTGGTGATTAAGTCATCATTTCTGTCAGATTACTCTAATCGGCTGTCAAATACGATTCCACAACCCCATCTGTAACTTGGCATCCTTGTTATTCAGTTGATGTTACCTTCTGTATACAAAACAAACACCAAACAAGGAGATGTGTGCAGTCTAGCATTTAGCAGAGTCATTAGCTGTGATTACTATTGTGTGCTTGCACATTGCACGAGGCGATCAAGGTATGGTTTGTTTTGTTTAGTCAGGAGATGTTTCAAATCAGGTGTAATCTTTACCCTGAAGTGCTAAGGGTGAGTGGGGAAGAACTGTCTCCAAGCATGGATGAGGATGGGATTGGTATGGTCCAAGTTGCCATCAAGTCACCTGCAACTGCTTAAATCTCCTTTTGGAGTTGTCAGTATATTTGGTGGAAAGGCTTTTGGGCACCTGCTTTCCATCTGTTTTCTGAAGAGAAATGGGCATTCAGATGTTCTGGGTGGGCTAAAGACTTCCTGAGAGCAGTAATTTCTGTGAGTGAAGCAAGGTTTGTAGGAGGAGGAGGTTGGCACTGTAAATTATCTGTATTGGCTGGTTTAATAAGAGGTATTTTGTTAAACATGTGAGCATGTTAGTCTTACAGAGGACTTTAGTGATTAAAAGCAGGAGCTGCTTTTCAGTGAAGATGAAGGAGCTGATGGGCTCAATTTGCTGCAGCTGTGTTGGGTCTGTGAAATTTGGGTACCTTCAGCACCTCTGAAACTCTAGCCACATAATTAGACTATGAATACTCATTACTTTATGGTCTGTTGCAAAAACACCTTCATACATCCATTAGCAGCTTTTATTCTCCACTCCTGTCACTGCAGATGTGCCTTGCTCCTGTGATTCCTCATGCC